GTAGCCAGGAAATAAAAAAACGTATTGCGATGGGAAAGTCTGCTCTTAGGGACCTCTCCAGGGTACTGAGGAGCAATGGTGTCACTTTGGAGACTAAGGTGTGTCTGATACAGGCTATGGTCTTTGCAATCATTTATTATGCATCAGAAAGTTGGACAATGACTAAGGAGGATAGAAGAAGAATTGATGCCTTTGAGCTGTGGTGCTGGAAAAGAGTATTGAATGTACCCTGGACTGCCAAGAAAACAGATTCTTCCTGAAGAGGGTTAAACCAGGCTGCACCTATGAGGCAAGGATTCTGTGGCTTCGTCTGACATATTTTGGACATGTTGTAAGGAGGGAGAGGTTCTTGGAGAGGGACATCATGCTTGGTAGGGTGGAGGGACAGCGCAGAAGGGGAAAACCTATGAGGTGGATTGATTTACTGACTGGAGTAATAGGGATGGGAGTGTCAGAGGCAGTGAGATTGGCACAGGATAGAGCAGGGTTTAGGGCTGTTGTACACAGGGTTGCTAGGAGTCGCAAGTGACTCGACGGCACATAACAACAACAACAACAACAACAACCTCTGTCTTCATGTTGTTGCTGTTAGATGCCATCGAGTGAACTACAACTCATAATGACCTTATGGGTAACAACCCTGTCCTGCCGTGTGCCATTTCTCATGATCAAGCCCAGTGTGGCAGTCTCTGTGAAACTCTGTCTTAGTTACTTTGGTCATATATTCAAGAGGAACCAATCCTGGTAGAAAGATACCAAGCAGGGAAAGGTAGAAGATCAGAGGAATAGAGAAACCCTGCAACTGCCCTCATTACACCTGACAAAAATGTCAAATTGTACAGCTGCACATCACTTAATGTCCATGATATGGTGTATCAAGTAGGGTCCTGTATCATCTGTAGTTAAACCTTATAAAGCCTATTATACTAAAGCCTTATGAAAGTCTATCATGCGTGTGGCCTGCCCAGACAGAGGCTATGCGGGCAGCCTGTACAGTACTTTGTAGTACTCTGTCCTGATCTGGAGCATGGAGCACGTGGAAGCGGCCTTGGGGACCAGGTGTGCAGGTGCCATCCTGATGGTGCAACCACACATGCTGACCCTATGTAGCCACTGGCGCTTGGAGGCGGGAACTAGGAGTGTGGGGCCAGCTGGTGCTGCCCTGCGCCAGGAGGTAGTCACTGCCCAGGCTGCTGTGTTAGAGAATGAAGCTCAGACGCGGTGCTGTGGGGCAGGGAATGCACCCCAGTACCCCCTTGCTTATCCACTCTGGGGGCTTGGAGGTTTTGTATCCATGATGGGAAAATAATACACAAAAAGAGGGCTGCTCCCTTCTTGAATTAAAAAAGAGAAACACCACCTTATGGGAAGACAGACAGAAATGTGTCTGACATTGCCCAAAAGGTCACCAAGCACCAAACCTGTCCACTGTCTATGAAAATATCAAATACGGTATAAAAAGGCAGTTGATTAATATCAGGTAGGATTACTATCTCCTCAGGGGAAGACCCTCTATGAGATGGATCGATTCAGTGACTGGGGTAATCGGGATGGGTGTGTCAGAGGCAGTGCGGTTGGCACAGGATAGAGCAGGGTTTAGGGCTGTTGTGCATAGGGTCGCTATGAGTCGGAAACGACTCGACGGCACATAACAACAACAACAACAGGATTAC